TCTTCTATCCGACAAAACCAAACTGCTCTCGCCAATCACCAGGGTGTTTTTCCCCATACACCATGCCCATGCTATTCCCATGGTCCGGAATGTCCTCTCCCCTCCTAGCTATCCTTCTCTGGAGAGTTTTCTCTAAGCCTTTCCAAATTCTTTGTGGATTTGACTAAAATGAAAATGTAGATTGTCGGGTACAAGTCATGAAAACTAACCAGGGGGTCTGAGTGTGGAAACCTCACATTATACTTTTAACTTGCTGCCCTCAAAATTTTTGAGTCATCAGCACAGGGATCACCCTTGCGATCCCACAAATCCCTTTGCACTGCTCTGCCACTAGACATTCCACCTGCTATATACACATCTTGAAGACAGTGTTAGCTCTTCTTTGTATCCTCAATGATTAGCACATTCCCCCAAATTAGCACAGTTTCCATTTCGTAAATATTTAATGGTGAGTAACAGGTACCCAACAATAATAGATGGATGAATGGCGATGGCAGTTAACGCCTTCTTTGCGGGTGTTGGCTATGAAACTGACAGAGTGTGGTTACCTGTGGATCAGAGCTCGATAAGCGGTAAAATACGGGACTCCAATAGCAGCTCCTTGTCTGAAGTCCAGTTTTTCGGGCAGTTTGTAGACAGTGTGATCTGCGGCAAGCGCATACTCTGCGTAGCCCCCCGAGATCGTGCTGGTAGTGAAAACTCTGTCACCTTTCTAGGGGAATAGACAGAGTAATAAATGTATCAGGGCTTCAAAACTATAGCAAGACAGGTACAATCCTTTATAACGCAACCCTTATAACAAGAAGTTAAGTACAGATAAACAGCTCCTTGTCTGAAATCCAGTTTTTCGGGCATAAAGCAAAACAGACATGATAAGCCACCAAAGACAGGTGTAAGGAACAGAAAGGAATTATGTCTAAGTCAGGGAATTTTTTTTTTTTTTTTGAGACAGAGTCTCAACTATGTCACCCTTGATAGAGTGCCATGGTGTCACAGCTCATAGCAACCTCCAACTCTTGGGCTTAAGTGATTCTCTTGCCTCAGCCTCCCAAGTAGCTGGGACTACAGGTGCCTGCCACAATGCCCGGCTGTTTTTTGTTGTTGCTGTTGTAGTTGACTTGTTGTTTGGCAGGCCCGGGCCAGGTTTGAACCCATCGGCTCTGGTGTATGCGGCTGGTGCCCTAGCCACTAAGCTACAGGTGCTGAGCCTAAGTTGGGGAAATTTAGAATAGCTTCAGGCTTGGCGCCAGTGCTGCACACTGGTGTGCCGTGAGACCCACGGCTTGGCAGAAAATTCTAAGGCATCACACGTGCTCACGGAGGGCATGAAGGGAGCGCAGGGCTCAGGGGCAGAACACAAAGAGCAGAGGTCCAACCAGGGACGGAGCCCCGGCAAGACTGACACCGGAGGACACCCAGAGAAAAAGAGGCCCGAAAGCGGATGCCTGGAGAGGAAGCAGAGAGGAGAATGGGAGGAAGTGATGCCAGGAAAGCTGAAGTTTTTGTTTTTTGTGTTTTGTTTTTTTCAAGAAAAAGTTAAGTGGCTGAGAGTATCAAATGTCACAAAGAAGTCAAGAAAGATAATGACATAAAAAGGCCCATTAACTCCAGCAATATAGAGGCCATTAGTGACATTAGCAAGAATCGTTTCAGTGGAGAGATTGGGGGCAGAAGCCAGGTTGCCACCGGCTAGGGAGTGGAAAGCTGGAGGAATGTCCCCGTCTTCCTGCACAGGGCACATTAATCTTCTCTGTCTCGCCCCAATTTTGGTAAATGTGCTGGCAAAGTTGAGCAGGTCAAGGAATTATAAGGAACGATGCCAGGACATGAGTGCGCTATGAATACACTCTGCGTTGTACGGCTCTTGGCCTAGAGATCACAAGGCCTGATAATAACACTTTCGTTGACCTTGGTCTGAATCACAGCTCCAGAACTGTAAGGGACCTCACATTTTTTCATATTTTACTTACACTTCAAAATAACTAATTTTCCCTTCGTTTTATAAAGCCAAATTTACAACAGGAATTAAAAATTACATTGGCGTATATGTTATCAAGAATTAGGAAGTAGTATAATTTCCTTGTTTGTTCTCTTTCCTTATACAGTTATATTAAGTCTAGAAGATCACAGTTCATTCTGTGGGGATGTGAAGGCACAGAAATTACTTTTATCTATTCTCTCAATGCAAACAAATAAGGCTTCTGGAAAAAAGCAATTTCTTTTTTGACTAGAGGAGTCCCCCAAGTGGCAGGAACTGTGCAGCAAGTCCTTTTAAAGCTTTAAATACAGAGACATTTGAAAACTGTGTTCAAATAATAAAAGAAAAAGTTAATATTATTAATGGAAATAATTAAAGATGTAATACCTTGAAAGCAGAGACGTTATCTCCAACAGCTTCTATTACACCAGCCACATCTGAGCCCGGAGTGTAGGGCAGGAGTGGTTTTCTACTGTAAGTTCCAGAGCGAATGTATGTCTCCACGGGGTTGACACCACATGCGTGGACCTTGATTAGAACCTGCAATGATAACACGTTTTAGTTCACACCAAGCATTTAGATATTCATTCAGGATTATGCCACAACTGTGCTGATTATGGGAGCTATGGAAAATGGGGTTAAAAAAGAAAAAATCCTTGCCATCAACAAATCCACATTCCAGTTTTGCAAACCCACATATAAGTAAATGAGACAGAATGCCTTGTGTGCTGTATTAAAAAGATTCTGGGAAAACAGTGCAAGAATTATTTTAAGTGATGTGTGGCACAGCTCTCTGTGTGTTCATCAAACCCATCTCCTCCTCCTCCTGGGTACACGGGGAGAGCAGTACCTCCTGGCCTCTTCCACATGGCCACGAGGAATCAACTATGAGTTCTAGACACTGAAATGTCAGCAAAAGTGATGGCAGCCACCTGCAGGTGGGGCCCATAGAAACCTTCCCAGGCGAATGCACTGTGCTCTTCCCCTTCCATGGAGACCTCAGAAGATGGGAGTTGAAGGTGGTAGAGCCACATGATGACAGACGTGTGGGTCCCTAAGTCACTGCTGGAGGACAGCGACCTATCAACATTTCAGAATTTTTGAATTTAGTGAATAAGAAATAATTTATTGGACAGCATCTGTGGCTCAGTGGGCAGGGCACCAGCCCCATATACCGAGGGTGGCAGGTTCAAACCTGGACCCAGCCAAACTGCAACAAAAAATAGCCGGACCTTCTGGCGGGCTCCTGTAGCTGTAGTCCCAGCTACTCGGGAGGCTGAGGCAAGAGAATCACCTAAGCCTGAGAGCAGGAGGTTGCTGTGAGCTGTGATGCCACAGCACTCTACTGAGGGTGACAAAGTGAGACTCTGTCTCTTAAAAAAAAAAAAAGGAAGAAAAGAAATAATTTATAATTTATTTTCTGCTGTTGCTGTTGTTGAACCATTATTATTTTGATGAGATTACAGACTATCACAGGGGGCAATGTTACCTTAATTAACACAGAATGATTATTTCTCATCCCCATGTAAGAAAGAGAGAAGGCCTTACAGAGGAAGTGGCATTTGAGCTAGGCCTTCAAAGATGAGAAATAATTCCTTAGGAATGGAGAAAAGGGATATTTCAGGTAAAAGAAATCATATGTGCAAAGACAGAGGAATGAAAGGGCCTCTTGAGGGAAAGGAGGATAAAGTTTGAGGCTGTTACAGCACTCTCTCTCTCTCTATGGAGAGACAGCGATAAGAAATAAATCTGTAAAGATAGGTTACAGCCAAATTGTAAAAATTCTCATAAGGCTTGCTAAGGAAATCAGACTTGGGAGCCATAGGAGGTGCAGTAGAAAAAGGCATGATTTTAAATCTAAAGTATATTGTTAAAGTCGTGGGAGATGATTACACTCTACACTTAAATTCTCGCATATAAAAAAGTATAAATGCAGAAGAAATTTGTTTTCCCACCACACACAAAATAATGATCATGACAGTTTGTAATGGAAGAACTTATTAAAAACTACTTATAACTCCATTCAGAAAAATTCATTGTACTACATAAATGATTCTCTACTTCACAAATTTTTCTTAAAACCAGAAGTTACGCTTTTCATATGTCTGCTTCACTAACGATTGGATATATGTTAACTTTGTCAGAATTCATACAATAGTGTAAATTTTGTCCTAATTCAATGCCTTTAAAAATCACTGAGAGTCTGTTTCTTTTGAACACGGACCTGATGTGTGAAAGACTCACTCTCAGTATAATTACTGCCTGAGAAAAGTAATTATGTCCACCTGAAAGTCTTTTGGAATCGGAACTGCAACATCCGACTGGAGTTTCAGCACTTCTGGTCCACCGAATTCAAAAACTCTAACAGCTCTCATCAACTTCTGTCCAGTTGCCATGGTGATCTAGATACCAAGAAAAAAAAAATTAACATATTGTCATAGTATCTGGGCCATCACTGTGTTTCGCCCCTTGGAGGGAAGAGATCAAACGATTTTTCAAACAACAATTTAAATCGTGAGCTTACCACTGATCTCATTTCATGTTTAAGGACCTTTCATCTCAAAAATCCTTCAGCTGCAAAGCAAAATACTTCATCCTACTTCCTGTAGGGATTCAGTGCCTTAGACAAGGGAATCAACCAGGAAAAGAAAAACATCTGGACAGATGTAGCATGATACCGCATCTCAGGTTTTCTTTTGTGTGAGCTTGGGTTAGAATCTCTTGGAAAAGTGAGGAGCTAATTTCTATTAACATTAAATGAAAAGCCCTTCTTTTGCTAAATTATGAAATATTCCAAACATAGAAATAGAAACACATTTATCTAATACACAGAATTAAATTTTAAAGAATCTTAGTAGTTTAAATACCTAATACTTTATAGGTATAATTGAAGCATCTTGTACCCACTCCCAAACCCATTTCTGGCCCACCCATCTAAGAGGTGTGGCCCACAGCATGTCACACCAATGCTGTGTGTGTGCACATTACTGAACATCACACACAATTGTTTTGTGTGGCTTCAAACTTTATTTACCTTGGATCACACTGTACTTAATTCTCCAATTTGCTTTTTTCTTTCAGCATTAAGGTTTTGAGGTTTATTACAGTTCGTTCATTTTAATTGAAGGGGGAAAAAACATCAAAAACTAAGAAAAAATCATTTTATCATAAGGACATTTGCACTAGGCTGTTTATTGCAGCTCAATTACAATTGCCAAACTGTGGAAACAACCTAAATGCCCACCAACCCAGGAATGATTCACAAGCTGTGGTATATGTATATCATGAAATACTATTCAGCCACTAAAAACGATGGAGACTTTAAATCTTTTGTATTAACCTGGAGCTGAAACACATTCTTCTTAGTAAAGCATCACAAGAATGGAGAAGCAAGAATCCGATGTACTCAATTCTGACATGAGGACAATTGATGACCTAGTACATGGTGGGGGGTGGAGGAATGGGGGAGCAGAGAGAGGGAAGGAGGGAGGGGGTGGGGGGGTCAGAGTGTGCCACACAGCTCTTAGAGGCAGGATATAATCATAAAAGGGACTTTTCCTAACAAATGCAATCAGCGTAACCTGGTTCTCTGTACCATCAATGAATCACAAACAATAAAAAATAAATAAGTAAATAAAACAAAAAAAGAAAAAAAAACCTAAAAACACTGCTCTTAATATAATCTTTTATAAATTCCACAGGCTCTGAGTTAGTCTTTCTGTACTACCACTGTTAATGTTAAAATGAAAAGAAAACTCAAGAATTAAATTCTAGGAAAAGGCAAAGAATATTTGTATAAAAAATTACATAACTTTGGAAGGTCCCCCATACCTCTAAATTATGTAGTGAAATGGTTTTGACTGTATCCCCATAATTTAACTGGTTACTGCAATTTATTGAAATTAACCAAATCAAATATGGTTAGATTCTGCCTCCATCTAAAAAAACTTATTCCTCAAGAACAAGCAGTTTAAACATCAGGAAGAGCGGCAGAAACTAGCGCCTGAGATAAAAGAATTCAGGTTTTTACTGCCCCAGAGCTCAGCACAGGACCACTCAGAACAGAGCCCACACTGGCCATAAAATGTCATTCAATGTACGGGGGAGAAATTAAAAGCATTCTGGTAAT